GTGAGCCCTGGGTGACCCAGGCTCCAGAGCTGCATCAGCAGGGTGGGGCTGCAACAGCCTCTTTGCCAAAACTCACCACTGATCAGGAAAAGGGAAGCATTTTACCAAATTTTACCAAAACCCAGGCTGTGCTCCCCAAACCCAGCTGGAGACAAGGATGGCCAGATGGGGAAAGACCTGGTTTGGCTGAGATCTGGCACAGAAATGAGGAAAAAGCCCTAAAAACGCGTAGGGAAGGAGCAGGGTTCAGTGGCAGGGCTGCGTGCTGAGGTGTAAAGCGTGGGTGGTGGAGAAGGGAGATGAGTCAAAGAACAATCTTTGGCCAGAACAGCTGATCTGATTACGTGGGGTTTTGACCTGGTGGGAACAACTCCTTGTCCTCACTGCTGAATTCTCTCTGGAGAGGTGTTTTCCTGGCAGAACCCTCATGGGAAGGGGTTTGCAGCCTGCCCAGAGCTCTGCTGTTAATTTTTAACTCTAAAACCCTGGGGAAATTCCAGAGGACTGGAGGGTGGCCAGTGGGAGTCAATTTAATATTTAAAAGGGATAAAAGGGCTGATCCTGGGAATTACAGGCCAGGTGAGGCTGATCGCCGTCCCCGCACAAATTATGGGCTGGGTAATTGAGGATGGTGTCAGCCAAAAATTAGAAGCTAAAAATATAATTAAGGTCGTTAGCTTGGTTTCATGGATGGCAGCTCCTGTCAAGTGAGTCGGCTTTGGTTTTTGGCATGACTCTGGGCTGGCTGATAAAGCTAATTGTGCTGCTGCTTTATAATGGGTTTCTCCAAAGTATTTAATTTAGGGCCATGTGACATTTTCATTTGTAGGACTTGCATTCTATGGAGCCGGCAGAGCAGACATCCCACGGCTGTGCTGGCGGCTCGGGGCGGTGGCCAAGGGGACTGAGGTTTGCACAGGGTGCTGTTTTCAGCAGGGATGCTGAGGTGAAATGGGGTTGGCAGGGCAGGCAGCCTCACAGGGATATCCCCTCTGCCCTGCCCAGCACCCAAAACGTGGGGAAAACCAAGAGGGAGCAAAAGATTTGGATTTTCCTGCTAAAGCACAGCGAGGTCTGGTGGCAGCAGCAGGCACTGATAACCCAGCTGTGGGTGTAATTCATCAATTTTAGGATAAGGTATGAACTCACAGACATTTGGCATCTCTGGACAAGAGGAAAGTTCTGCTTGGTGGGAGAGGATTTATTGTGGCTTCTGGGACAAGCCCAAGCCTCTGCATGCATGTGCAGCTTGCTCTGGCCCATCCTCATGGGCCTTTCCAGCCCCATGGAAGCTGCATCCTCCCCTCTGGACTGCACCAGCTGCAGCTGAGAGCTGTGGGTTTCCTCCAGTGGATCATTTTAGGTCATCATTTGTGTCCTTTTAGCTTTTCTAGTGGGAAAAATGCAATTGAATGGAGCTTGGAGCAACCTGGTTTAGTGGAAGCTGTCCCTGCCTTGGGACAGAGGGTGGAACAAGATGGTCTTTGAGATCTCTTGCAATTTGAACCACTCTGATTCTGTGACAGCTGGGCACAGGGGCCTTTCTCTCCATCCAGCAATGTGTTTTTCACCCCATATGGATTTCCCCACTGTGGGTCTCACCCCTATAAGACCCACGGTGGCTCCAGGGGCATCCAAGCCTCCTTTGGTCAGTGTTTCCTTTGGCAGATGTTCCCCGGGCAGGGCTGTGGAAGGCTCTGCATCCCTGCAGGTGCAGATGGGATGGGATGCTCCCACCCCAGGTGGAGCAGGGCAGGACGGGGGAGCCCTTTCAGCCCAATCCTGGACCAAGTGTGGATCCCAGGGCTCGCCAGCTCCGAGCCCTGACTCCTGCCCTCTCCCCCGGGCATCCATCCGTCTGTCTGTCTGTCTGTCTGGCTGGCTCCGCGGTAATGACAGCAGGCCGGCGGCACGGAGCCACTCAGGGACTTGCCCGAGGTCCCGTGGGGAGCGATGGCCACACGGGAGGAGCACCCGGCTGTGCTGCCCCTGCCCGGCCCTGCGGAAAAATGTGAAATGTGCGGCACCAGGGCCGGGAGAACACGGCAGAGCCACCGGCCCGTGTCCCCGGAGCGGTGACATCCCGTGTCCCCAGGGTGGTGACATCCCGGCGGACATGGCAGTGATGGAGCTGCAGCATCTCTCAGGGTGACAGGAGCAGGGGCTGCTCCTCTCTCCAGGGGGATTCGGAGCTCCCGAGCCCTTTCCTGGAGGGTTTTGCCGGTGCCTCCCAGGCCGGGCAGGTGAGTAACACCTCCCGCTCTGCAGCTTGTTTACCTGGCGCTGGGGCTTCTCTTTGGAAGGCTGACTCACCGCAGCACCTTCCCCCTCTGCCACTGCGGCTCCCTGACAAAAACTTTCCATTTTCCCATTGTTTTAATTGCCCTCATTTGAGAAAACTCCTCCGGAAAAAAAAACCGGCTGTGGGTTGGAGAGACAGGGCAGCCCCAGCCGGGCTTTGCCACAGCGATGGGGTGGGATGGGATGATGGGGTGGGCACAGCTTGGGGATGCAGTGGCAGCACCTGGGGCACGCAGGGGATGTGGCAGCGAGGTCGCAGCAGCCCCGAGCGTGGCACACGGGCGGCTCGGCACGGCTGAATGCGGCCCGACAGGTTTGAGCAGGAGCCCGTCCCGTTCCGCTGGATTTTTGGAGAGGCTGGAGCCAGCCCCGGCGTCCCGCGGGGAGCTGCGGGCTCCGAGCACGGCGCCAGGTCACGGCCCCAGCCCACGGGGCAGGCACGGCCCGCAGGGACGGCTCTGTGCCCTCTGCCAGCTCCCTGATCCCTGGAAATGGGGAAGGAACAGCCCCTTCCCTCCTGGGCTTCCTGCAGTCTGGGGGTCCATGCTCTGGGGAGGTGGAGAAGGGCTGGGGAGCAAGAGGACACCACATGGAGGTGTCCATGGAGATGGAGAGAGGCTTTTGGATGGAAAAGGAAATGATGGGCATCTGTAGGAGCTGTGGGATGGAGGTCCTCAGCAAGCAATAATCCAGCATTGGGGATGGAAGCAGGGAGGGAGCAGAGCTGGTTGAGACGATCATCCGCTCCTCTCCACGGAACAGAATTTCCACAGTTGTGTGCCAGGTGATCCCTGGACCCACAGCCAGGGCAGCAGGGTCTGTTCAGTCCAGAGGGGAAAATCCTCCCTCACTGGGGTAGGGTCATGCTGCTTTCATAACATTAGGATCAAGGAAAAGGTGGGGAAACGGTGAGGTGTGGGGGTCTGGTGGGCACCCCTAGCCTGGGATCACCACGTGGGCTCAGATGCACTGGGGTCACTGGTGCTTTGCTGTCCCATCCCAGTCCGTGGCACACAGTGTGCTGCGAGTGGCCCTGGCAGGAGGGACAGGGATGATTAAAGCTGCCTTTGATGAAGGAAAAATTAATAAACAAGCAGACAATTGTGCTGGGCTCTATTTACTGGGGATGACAGCGCAGAGCCGGCGTGGCGAGGCCGCCCAGGCCAGGCCCACATCAAACACCAGGACAGCGCCAGGCGTGAGGGGACCACGCCATCACCTCCTCTCCGACGGGTTTTTCCTGGCCCCAAAAATCCAGGAAGATCCACGTGCCTGTTCCTCATAGCAGGGCCCCATCCCACACCGTGGGGAGCCCTGGGATGAGCAGGAGATGCTCTGTGCCATGCGGAGGTCGGACTGGGGTAGGGTGTGCAGTCTTGGGTGCATTTTGGAGGTGCCATTTGGCACCTTTGCCCTGTCCCCCTGCCCCAGGTCAGCGTTCCCAGCTCTCTCCTGATCCAGAGATGCTGCACAGGCTCTGAGGTTCCTTCCCTGGTGTTTCTGTGCAGAAGCCAGGGGCAGAGCTGGGAGGCCAAGCCTGTGGCCTCACACTGGGCCCTTATCAGCTGGTCAGGAATATTTACCTGCCGGTTTCCACCGGATAAAAATTCACTGGACAAACAGGAGCTCCCAGCTGGCCCCAGGGCGGTGGCACCACAGGGACGTGGCTCAGCTGGACGTGCGCCCCTGTCCCTGCTTCATCCCCGCTCTGTCCCCAGGGCCGCAGGAGTGTGAGGGACATTGTCCCCACCTAACCTGCGTGCCCGAGGGTTGCTGACCCCCGTGTGCCCTCGTGTGCATGGGCTGGGGACAGGGCCATGGATTGTCACCCCGTGTCACCATGTGTCCCACGGCTGGGGGTGGGCTGTGTGGGGAGGTCACTGTGCTCTATGGGGGGCACAGGACAATGCTCTACAGGGAGCTGAGCTGAGCTGGTCCGGGACAAACTGAGCTGAGCAAAGCCCAGCCGAGCTGAGCTGAGCTGAGTTGAGCCATACTACGCTGTGTTGAGCTGAGCCGTGCTGAGACAGGCTGAAGAGAGCTGAGCTGGGACAAGCAGAGCCAAACAAAGTGGTGCCAGGCTAACCCGAGCCGAGCTTATCTATGCCAGGCTGAGCCAAACCATGTTGAACTGACTAGGGCTGAAGGAAGTTGGGCCGTACTGAGCAGAGCCGAGCTGAGCTAAAACACGCCCCCAAACTGTGCTGGGCTGAGTTGAGCCAGTCTGTGCAAGGCTGAGCCAAACCGAGCTGGGCCGATCCGACTCGAACCAAGCTGGGCTGAGCCGAGCCGGGCCGAACGCAGCCGAGTCGGGCCAAGCTGGGCCGAACGCAGCCGATAAGAGCCGAGCGGAGCCGATGGGGGCCGATCCTGACCCAGCTGTCAGCGCACCGCCCCTCCCTCTTTCCTCTTTTTCCATTGGCCAGCACGGCCATCCGTTAGGGGCGGAGGCGCGTTCCCATTGGCGGGTGGGCACGTCTGTCCGCGCCGCGGCCCCGCCCCCTTTCCGCCTGGCTCCGCGGCGCTGGAAACTTTGCGGGCGGCGCAGTCGGGAGCGGCTCCCGCAGCGCCCGCACCCCCGGTCCCGGCCCTGGTCCCGCTCCGCACCGACCCCCGCGCCGCTCCTCACCGGCCCGCCCGGCCCGGCCCCGCACGGCGCGGGCAGCGCCGCCCCTCCGCGCTCCGCCGCCGCCGCCCGGCCATGCGCGCCCGCTGAGCCGCAGCAGAGGCGGCCGCCCTGCGCTGCGCTCCCTCCTTTGATTTTTCCTGCCGTGTTCCTCGGGGTTCTGTGTCGGTTTTTGCGTTCGCGTGACGCCCCCCGCGGGCGCGGGGCGGCGGCGATGGGCGCGGCGGCGGGCGGGCGCTCCGCGGGGCGCTGAGCGGGCGCGCAGCGGGCGCGGGCCGCGCCATGGCCGCCAAGGACAATCCCTGCAGGAAGTTCCAGGCCAACATCTTCAACAAGAGCAAGTGCCAGAACTGCTTCAAGCCCCGCGAGTCCCACCTGCTCAACGACGAGGATCTCAACCAGGTGGGATCTTACCCCACAACCCAATGTTTTTCCCCCAAAATCTACCGCGGCGTCCCGCCCCTAGGGCGCTCTGGGTCTCCGTGCGGTGTCCGCTGGCACCGTGGGTAGCCTGGGGTCCCACAGGTGCCTTGGGAGCCCCCTAGGTAGGTTAGGGTCCCATGGGTGTCCCGATGGGTATTATAGGGTCCCACGGATGTTCTGGGGTCCCAAGGATAGAAGGGGGTGCCACGCGTGCCTGCTGTGTCCATGGTTGGCACAGAATCCTATGGGATCCCCAGGGGTGCCTGCTCGACACTGATGTTGTAGGGTCATGTAGGTGCCTGCGGCTCCCACAGGTACCGTGGGATCAGGTTAGGGATGCTGTGGGGTTCCATGGATAGCACAGGGACCTACAGGTATCCCTGTATTCCATGGGGTGTTGTGGAACTCCAAGGGTGCTCCCTGGTCCTATAGGGTATCTAGGAACTCCATGGGGTGTTTGCTGATCATACAGATAGGCCAGGGACCCACAGGTATCCATGGGTTCTGTGAGGTGTTCTGGAGCCCCACTGGTGCACCCTGGTCCCATAAAGTGTCCAGGAGTCCCATGGGGTACCTACTGACCCTATGGGTGGTGCATGGTCCTGTGGGGTGCCTGCTGACCCCACGGACAGCACAGGGACCCACATGTGTTTGTGGATCCCATGGGGTGTCCAGGTTGCTCTCCGATGCCATTAAGTATCCAGTGATTCCAGTGGGTGCCTGCTGGTCCCATACATGGCCCGTGGGTCGCTTGGGGTGCCTGCTGGCCCCACAGACAGCACAGGGACTCACAGGTATTTGAGAAGCCCATGGGATGTCCAGGAGCTCTTTGGGTGCTCTCTGGTCCCATAGGGTGTCCAGAGATCCCATGGGATGCCTGCTGACCCCACAGATTCCGAGGTGTCCTACGGAGCACCCACAGTTCCCACTGGTCCCTGAGGCCATGGCTCACCCCAGTGCCACCTCCGTGGGGACCTCACCCCTGAGGCCATTTGGGGTCCCGCACCAGCACTTGGGGTGATCCTGGGGTGCACGGCAGGTGGGGGGTGTCCTGTGAGCTCCCTCAGGCGATCCTGAAAAGTCCTGGGAAAAACTCGGTTGGAAACAAAACGTCCCCTCCTGGATGTACCGGACATGATCCCCCTGTCCTTAACCCCCCTGCTCTCCTGGGGACATGGCAAGGGGACCCCAGCCCCTTTCCGAAGAGGGTTCAGCGCTGGGGGGCTGCCAGGGCTGGGCCTTCCTCCTCTTCCTCCTCTTC